AGCTTTGAAACACTATAACAGATGTTTTTAATATCCCATTTTTTAATCAACATGGGAAATCCTGGATTTCTAAAACCTAAAGGGAGTTAATATCATCCCAGACTAAAGGCAAAGACTACAGGAAAAAGTAACATAATACATCATTAAAGCAACCTTTAATATAACATAAATATTTTGAACAAGATCAAAGAAACTACCTGATCCACATTTAATCAAAGTTCAAAGGACTATTTTTATTCTAAATATAGAAGTAGAAAAGATTTTTCAGAGGAATTTTTAAATTATATTTTTCATTATATTTTCTCCACCATGATCCTCACTGATTCACCAGGAAAGGAGACCAGACAGACAAGCCTATGTTGGTTATAAGGAACTATTTATTACCTATTATTTAGGACCTAGTATTCTGCAGAAGCTTGCAAAATAACAATGCGGGGAGCAGTTATTTCAGCTTGCCGTGTTAAACTAGCAGTATTCTATGACTTTCCTGCTCCTGCCAAAACAAATTAAGCATTGTTCAAAACTTCACCAGTAAAAATGCCTCAAACACCACTGAGGTTATTTTTATCAAAGAAAAAAACCAAAAGTTGGTGCAGTGTGTATGGGTACCACAAAACGCCTATCCTCTCTGGCCACCAGGTGGCATCATTGATTAATATAATAAAAGTTAATTAACTTGTGCTCACCACCACCCAACATTAGCAGCACAAGATTAACTGAAACACATTAAGTACAAACAACCTCTAGGGATATGCAAGTTAACTTTTTTCTCATTTATAAGGCCCAGGATGAAAGGATGTGGACCTAACACATACTATGCCTTGTTAGAGGCTCCTAGTGAGCCTTGCCACTCCTTGATTACCTAAATCAAGAAATAGCCAACTTAAAGCAGAAATGATTAACCTTTACTAAAATTTAGTCATCTGTGGGAATCTGGGACTTTTTTCATTCAACGCCCAGATTCCAGGACTGTGTGCTGAGGAATGGTTGGCAGCCAAGCGCAGAGGAAATGAGCATATAGGGGGTATAACATTCCAAAGTCAAGTGTTTTGAATTTGAAGACATGTCTTGCTTTGTATTATTCAGGTTTCTTCTTTCCGCCATAAATATGTACAGAGATCAACAACACACACAGAATTATGAGATCTAGAGAAAAATAAGTCTAGCTTTTTTTTGAGCAAGGGCAAGACCCCATCTCCACAAAAAATAAAAAATTCGCCGGGTGTCATGATGGGTGTGGTGGTGCGTGCCTGTAGTACTAGATACTCAGGAGGCTGAGGCAGGAGGATCGATTGAGCCCAGGAGTATGAGGTTACAGTGAGATATCATGACACCACTGCATTCTAGCCTAGGTGACAGAGAGAGACAGACCCTGTCTCAAAAATAAATAAATGAATTGGAACTAACTGATGAGCACACACATGCATAGAGGGAAGTAAATCTCAAAGGAAATCAAGTGTGTGTGGGGGTTGATGGCTTGCAAAGCAAATACCTTTCTGTGAATTAGAAAAGGCCCCCTCTCGTGGGGCACAAAATATGGCAAGCAGAGGGCAGTCTGTACTTGGGCCTCGGTCAGGCACCCTTGTGCAGGAATTATGTGAGGAATCTCTGGTCTATCCACGACTGATGACCCCGGTCCCAAGGTGGCATCAGCAAAGGACTCACAAATCAAGCCCAGACTCAGATGGCACAACGGACAGAATCTCTCCTAGATTCCTTTTTAGCAGGGCAGACTAGCTAGGCATATCCAGAATGCCCGCAGGAGAATCAAGTTGGGGGAAGTCTCTCAACAAAAGTAAACATCCATTATTTTGACTTGTCTGAGACTGCTTTTCTTAGTGGATACATTTTCTAATCCTTAAGGCTGCCAGTTTATCAAGTAAGAATCTTAAGCACACAGAAATGGCCTTGGCACAGTCAAGCCACACTTAAAGAAGCTCTTACCCATATTTGGTCTGTATCACCCCGACTATCAACAAAGAGCGAATTTAGATTTAGGAAGATAAGCATATCTCATTACCCAGCAGCCGAATGAAGAATAAAGCAAATATAAGCGTGAAAGTAAGTTCAAGTTTAACTAAATTTTAGTGTTTTCTCCAACTGGAACAGTTCCTGAGCCCATGATTCTGACAAAAACTGTGAGAGAAACTCTTTAGCAACAGATTTTGCTGTTATATCTTTGCCAAGACAAGTCCTAGCAATAGAGGCATTTGGCTACTTGCAGGGAATCTGGGTCAAATCTGCCTTAGAATTGGAAAAAGAATGGCTTTGTAGTAATGTCTATGGGTAGAATTGAGGGTATCTGCAGCCCTGCATGGGCAAAAGCACACAAGCCAACAAACTCCATTTTCACTAATCTGTAAGTGAAATGCAGAATTTCCTTCCATGTAAATGTGGGCAGCAAACCACTATATTATTAGCAATATCTGTGACTTTATCACCACAGATATTTTTATAGCACATTACAGCTGTGGCAGACATCTCAAAATATTATTCACTCTCACCACTACTTCAACATCATGGTATTAACAGTTATTAGATCTGTCATCAGATCTCATTTAATGTAGTACTAAAGAAGTACATGCATTACTATGTCACATTTGAAAAATATTTAAATAACTGTATTTTAGCTTAATTGGTTTTCCTTTTAATCTTATGTATTTTATTCTGTATCTTAAAAAAATATATTCTACAAAGGGTCAATAGGCTGTGTCAGATTGCCAGAGGGATCCAGGCACAAAAAGATTAAGGACCCCTGTAGAGAAAGTGAGATTACATTTAAAAGCTGGAAGGTGAGAGAATATGCAGATAAATGCCCTAAAGACTTTCCATAGTAGTAAAATATTTCATGTACATAATTTATGCAATACCATCTCTCAAAATAACTTGTTCACAACTATAATTAAAAATGAATTGCAGAAAAGGAAAAAATGAATTATAACAGAATCAGAGCTGAACTAACTACAATGGAATTCTGGGTAGTATCATGATGGAGCTGCCTTTTATCAGGGCCTTTGGGTTTGTCAAAAATTAAATTCCTTGGCTGGAGTCCAAGACAGCCCTACTTTTTATCAAGTTCTGACCTAGAGAAAGTGTTAAAATGACATTTGATATACACAATTAACCTTGGGCATTAAAATAAATACTTGCTAAACAGAAGTTTTTCAGTTAGGGTTTTTCTTTCTTTTTTTTTTGAATCATCCATTAATTTTTATCTTTTTTACATGTGCTTATTAGCCTGTACATAGCTCAAATTTATAGCTTTGAAACACTATAAC